TTATTTAACACCCACCCTACCCCTGTCCCACTCGTGTCCAACCCGACTGGCCCAGGCCCGCACAGGGCGCAGCAGGGAGCCGGTCTTTCAAAGCAAACCCTAAAAATAAATAAGCATGGGTCTCCGTAGTCCGGAGGCTGACGTCCGGTGGCTATCCAGGTCCGAGTCAATTCACTAGCAGCGAATCCTCCTCCGAGGCGTCCCTGGAGGAAGGGCAGTGTCAGCGGAGGCAGAAGGCATCAGTTCCCTCCGGCCCGCTTCCCTTCCCCCAGCCAATCTCCAACCCGGCCTCGAACCGAACCTGCCGCAGCAGCAGAGGAGGCTGCAGGCGGAGCCGCTCCCGCGGCGGAATTTGCCCGAGGTGGGGCTGTCCTGGCACTGCGCGATGTAGGCCTGGAGCTCGCTCTCCTCGGCGCCCGCTCCGCCCGGGTGCTGGGGAGAGATGCCCAGCCACCGACATGAAAGTGGCCTCGGCCTCCCAAAGCCCTTGAGCTGTGCCCTCCCCTCCCCCCCACCTCCAGCCATCTGCATCTCCTTGCTGTTCCTCGAGGACCAACCAGGCTCCCACCTGTGGGCCTCTGACTTGCCGTGCCCTCCACCTGTTGTTCCTCACGGTTCGCTTCACACGGAGACGATCCTTGACCACTGAATGTGTGCATACTCTGCATCTCGGTCAGTTGCTGCCCTCTGCTGTGGCTCCAGCGCCTGGAGCCTTGCCTGACACAATCTGGATGCTTGACAACCATCTACTGACTTGAGTACACACAGTGGGAGCAAGGTCTAAGCTTGTACACCCAAGGCTGACACACGTGTGTGATTTTTCAGTGCTAGAGTAGGACCGCCAGGCCTCCTCAGTGACAGAAGCATGCCTGTGGGATGGCTGTATCCATGCCCGGGCCCAGCGGGGTGCACACCTGCATTGCCACCTGGAGTGAACGTTCTAGCTTTCAGCTGAGCCTTCACCCCTCTCAACCTCATGGGGCCGCTCTCTCTTCTCCAAATCCTTTTTGGTTCTAGGTTTTTGCTTTGGCACCTTCTCCTGGTGCTCCCTCTCTCTTGGGGTTCCTGTCTCACCAATCCAGAACTTTCTGAGATGATGGAAATGTTTGATCTCTCTGCTGTCCATATCTGGTAGCTACTAGCTACACTGGCTTTTGGGCACTTGCCATGTGCATGGTATGACTGAGGAACCGAATTTAGAATTATATTTCATTTTAGTTAAAGTCAAAATTCAAATAGTGACATGTGGCTAGACATCAGTACTGGACAGCACATTCTAGAAACTTTCCTGGGCTCACCTCAATACCAGTCTAAAGCAGGGGTCCTCTGTAACTTTCCATACTTCCATTACACCCGTCGTTGGTCGGTCATCATACTTCCGTTTGTGCACCAGACTGCCTGCGCAGTGGGCTTGGACAGACCATGTACACCTGCTTTCCAGGATGCCCAGCACCCAGCACAAGGTTTGGCATGGGATAGGTCCTCAACTATGTTTGCCAAAAGATTCTGTCTACCTGCCACCCCATGTTCTGCTCTGACCCCCACAACCTGCAGGACCACCACCATTCCCCAGACCCAAACAGCCCCCACAGAACAGAGTGGCTGGAAGCAGGGCTTTTGGAATCAGATAGTCCTGGGCTAAGCCAGACTTCACTGCTTGCGTAGAAGCTGACCTTTGGCAAATCCCTGAAACTCTGTGACTTGGTCTCCCCGTTGGTCAAAGCAGACGCAGGAACCCTCCCTGGCCCCTGATTCTGAGTCGCCCTCTCCTTTGGCTACGTGGAGTTTCCCTCATTCTCTTCCTGTGTCCTCTCCTCACCCCACCATGTCCTCCCAATGCAACTGCAAGGGCTTGGAGCCCCAGTCGGGGCCTGTGTGTGTGTGGGCAGGTTGGTCCATGGGGAGGCTGGCCGGGAGGGGGCGCACGGGCCAGCGGCTGACCTTGATGGTGTCGTAGGCCCCGGTGATAAGCGCGATGAAGAGGCTGAGCACCATGTAGATGAAGAGGCTGATGAAGGAGTACAGGTAGAGCTGGGAGAACAGCCAGACCAGGCTGCTGCGGCCCTGCTGCGCCTGCATCGCCGCGAAGGTCACAAACATGTCATCCCCGTTGATAAGCGAGAACAGGCACTCTGACACCATGGACAGCGAGCGGAACTGCCGGGGACAGGGAGTTATGGGGTCACAGGGGGCTGAGGGCATGGCTGTCAGAGGGGACGGTGGACAGAGGACCAGCAGGCACGACGGGGCCACCTGGGGGGGTGTCACTGAATAATGACAAGGTCACAGGGTCAAGGGCAGGATTACCAGGGGTCAGAGGGGACAGTGGGCAGAACTGTTGCTGACCTGCTGGTAAGATACCACAGGTCGAGATAGGTCATTCAGTGTCACCAGGTCAACAACACATAAACCAGGAGTCAGAGGGCTTAAAGTGAAAAGGGGTGCCAGGGACTGGGTCACAAGCACCACCCCCTGGTCCTGGCCAACCCCTACCTTCACGTGGTAGGGACCTAACACGATCCAGCCACAGAAGCAATAGCCCAGGTAGATGACAGCCACGCAGCAGCAGAAGCGCATGACGCTGGGCAGGGCCACTCGCAGTGTGGCAATGAGGATCTGTGGGCAGCAAGTAGGGGACAGCCGTGAGGGCATGGCCACAACCCAGGTGGGCGTGAGATGGGACAAAGAAGGCAGGGCCTGCCCAAGGGCACACTGGGGTGACCACAGAAGCGAGGGGAGCTAAGAAGGGGCCAGCTGGAGCTGAGGGGGCCCCACGGCTGGACCCAGTGGGGTGGGTATGAACGAGCAGGCTTGTGCCCCTGCCTGGGGCACAGTGACAGGTCTGCCTGGGGTGGCCAGGTATGGGGAAGAGGCTCATGGCAGGTCCTCTGCAGGGGCTGGTGACTGTCATCTGTGAGTGAACTGATCTGGGGCTGTGGGTTGGAATTAAGGGAGAGGTGGCCGTGCGTCTCAGAGGCCCTGGCTGTGCGTCTGAGGCTTACATTGTACTTATGGAAGAAGGTCAGGTAGCGGATGACGCCGACCCAGACGAGCAGCGTTGAGGTGCCCAGGAGGATGCTGCAGACGTCGTAGCTTGCGAGGTTCTAGGGGCAGGAGCAGTGTCACCCCCATCAGGCCTGGCCCTTCCCTGGGGATGTGGCCCCGCGCAGGCATCAGCAGGGATGGGGGAGAAGGGGACCACGGTCTCCGGGAGGAGATGATGGGGCTCCGGGCAGGATGTGGGCAGGACCCACCTTGGCTTCGATGCCAATCTTCATGATGGTGCCGGAGATGGTGAGCACATCGCTGGTGACCAGCAGGATGTACCAGCCATTGACAAACTCCAGCCGCTCCCACAGGCTGATGACCCGGCCCCGCTGCCGCCTCATGAACCTGACAAACTCCTGCAGGAAGAGGCGGGCGGGGTGGGGACTGATCCAGGCACAGGATGCTCGTCACTGAGGCCCTGACCTTCCCAGAGCCCGGCGGGGCAGGGGGCGGCTCTCACGTTCTGCAGCAGGAACCCTCGGAGCAGCGAACGGGCACAGAGCAGGAAGGAGAAGGCGCAGGTGAGGATCACCACCACGTCAAACAGGAGCCGGAAGCTGTTGTCTCCTGTGGGGAGGGGGCCAAGGGCTAGGCTGTGGTGGGTAAGGCAGCTGGGCCAGGCCTAGGTGGCTAAGGGGCTGGTTTTGGCTGGTCAGCGGGTTCATGAGTTTCTCTGGGTGAGTAGGGAGCTTGGTCCGTGCTGGTCTGGGGCTCAGGGGCTCACCGTGGCCAAAGACGCTGGGGTGCTTACACTCCTGGATGTGGGCCTGGGTCTCCAGGCTGATGGGGATACGCCCACTGTGTGCCTTATTGTCAAATGTGATCTGCAGGGATGTGGCAGGACAGGAGGGGGAGGGTAAACCTTGGTAGACCCGGCTCCCAGACGATAGATGGTCTCTCTAGCCCCAGCTTCCCCTATCACTCCCATGCTGCCCATGGCCAAGGGTCCCTAGCTTCAGAGCCCAGGAGCCCTATGTCTCCCCCCACCTGCCAACCCCATCACTGGCACACCTCAGGCACCGTGGGCTCACCAGGATGCTGAAGGTGTAGCAGTCTGGGATTTCATTGTTGATCAGGCTCTGGAGGTTAATGGTCTTTAGCTGGAAGTGGATGGTGACGTTGATCAGCCTGGGGGGGAGGCTTGGGTGAGGGGGAGGGGGCTCTGCCTGTCCCTCTCGCCCCCCGGGGCCAGCGCTCCTGCCCCACGCTGACTCTGCAGCTGGCAGAGGAAGTGTCACATGGCAGGCATCCTCCGCCTGGGGGGAAGTGGCTATGGGGAACTACCCCCCAACCCCAGGATGCCTGGAGTCCTGCCTCCCCCACCCTCGGCCCAGCCCTGAGACAGCCCCCTTCATTAGGCAGTACTTGTGGAATTTGAGCGTGAGGTTCTTGTAACTGGTGATGCCATCCGAGTGGGAGAGATCATCACTGGGGGGCACAGGGGGTCTCTCAGGGGGGTCCACCCGGATACAGTCTGAGGACAGGGAGTCAGGGAAGGGACACTGGGGGTGGGGGAGGCACAAGCAGGTCTCCCCAGAGTCCCCGACAGCCCCCTTCCCTACATCACTTCCCTGTTTGTAGTTGAATATTTGCTGTTTGCTCCTGCTGTCTCCCCTGAGTCCCCAGTCTGTCTCATTAGCTACACGTACCCCAGTGCCTGGCATTCAGTGGGCTCCCAAATGTTTAGTGAATTAATGACATTGAAACATAATAGCTCTTTCTGTTTGCCAAGCGTTCTACTAATCATCAAGTTATTAACGATCACGAGAACCCCACCTCCCAGATGAGCAGGAGGCAGACTGGGATTTGAGTCCCAGCAGCCGGGGCTCCCAACAGCTGAGCCCTACCCTGCCTACTCACCAGTGATGACCATCGGGTCGATGTCAAAGGTGTCATTGGCTGGGTCCACGTGGCCCCAGCGGTAGTACCGCTGGCAGAGGGCCAGGGCTGAGCCGTTGGCCCAGGGGCCGCCCCCGCCCCGCACATAGGCGTACTGGCCCAGTGACACATCGGGGAGCATCAGGTACTGTGGGCCAAGAAGGGGAGGGTCCATCAGCCCTGGCCGCTCTCCCCCATGGGCCCACCCACGCCCACTTGCTCCTGGCCACCCGCACCTGGTTCACGGCATGGAAGATGGCCTGGTAGAGCTGCTCCCGCGTGTAGGCTGCAAAGGTATCGTCCACCCCGTCCGAGTAGCCCAGCAGGAAGAGGTGCCGGAAGGCAATGGTGTTCTCCTCCCGGAAGGTCACTGCCAGCTGGTTGCTGAGTCCAAACAGGATGAGCTGGTGGGAGGGACAAGGAGGACTGGTATGGCTGGGATGGGGCCTCCCATGGTGCACAAGTAGAGGAAGAGGAGAGGGCCCACCCCGTAAAGGCATGCACACCTTACATCCCCAAGGTGCTGCACACAGTGGCTGCATATATAACTCCCAGCAACAGCTAACATTCATTCCATGTTTACTGGATGTTGGGTTCTGTGCTAAACCCAAACTTCCAGGGTAAGTGCCACTATTGGGCCATGTTACCAAGGGGAAATAAGCGTGGTAACACGCCCGAAGCCACAGCACTAGACCAGAGCTCCTTACGGCAGGGGCTGGGTCTGATTCATATTGGAGTCCTGAGAACCCAGCGCAGGGCCTGGCAAGGGAAGGAGGGACAACTATCACTTCAGCCACTGAATCAGTTCCCTTGGGGAGTCAGCACAGCATCAGACCGCCAGGGTCCAAGGGCCAGCTCCCAGTGCTCAGTTGCTGTGTGACTTTGGATGAGTCCCTTAAACTCTCTCGATCTCAGATGTCCCATCTATAAAATGGGGCGACAGCAGTTGCCAGGACCTCAGAGGGCATCTGTGAGGTTAAAATGAGCTGCTCCCATACAGATCTCAGAGGTCTTCCTGATTGATCAGTGTCACTGTCATTATCAGTACACTGCTGTGGAGTCAGGACTAGGCTCCGGCTCCAAGACTCTCTTTCAAAGAAAACAGCGGCCACAAGGACCATCCTGCTGGGGCCCCTAAGGGTCTCACCTGCACAGTGACCACCAAGATCTTCACCACTTGCAGCATGAGCTTGAAGGGCTTACGGCCCTTGGCCCGAAATTTGTCACAAGGACTCATGAAAAAGTACTTGAGACGGCGGCGGAGGTCCTCCTCTTCCGGAGGGGTGGTAGGGGCCGGAGAAGCCTCCGCCCGGGTCCCATACCCAGGGCTGGGGGTCAGGAGGCGCTCTGTCTCTGTGGGATGGGAGAGGGCAGTGGGGACCAGGCCTAGGCAGGTTCACCTGCCAACTGGGGAGGCAGGTCCTATCCTCCAGTCAAGAGAGATCTGAGAGATCTAAGGAAAACTAGAAAATCTGCAGCGTTGTATGGATACGTGCAGCAGTGCTGCTCAGAAGTTACAAGTTACTTAAAAGGGCCTGAGTTGATTCCTGACCCTGCTACAGGGCACTCAGCCACCCTGAGCCTCAGCTTCCTCCTCTGCAAAATGGGACAATAAAATCTCTCACCAGGACGCTGAGGACTTGATACTTACAAAGCACTGAGTCTCTGAATCTCAATAATTCCACAGTGAATAGAGGCTATTCTAAGCATTGCTTACTCCCTTCCATTTCGACCAGCCTAAGAGGGAGGTCCAAGTTTTCAGCAACTGCTGGGGTCAAAGCTGATCACAGCAGTCCAGAACTGTCCCTGACACACACACACACCTCCACTGGGAGAACCCTGCTTCTTTCCAGGGCCTGGCTGGTCCCCTGCCTGGAACAGCCACCAGGATGAATGTGGGCACTGTCAGAACCTGTCCTGCAGGAAGGGCCAGCTCTTGGCTGGTCCCTCTGGAGCTCAGATGCTGTAGTGGTTGCTTACCAGACAGTCAGATGGGAAACTGGAGGCTGGACCACCTCCCAAGCTAACCCACCCCAGACTCCACCAGCCAGGACACCTTTCAGGTGTCTCCAGTTGGCTTAAGAAGGGAAGATCAACACAGTGTCTTCCTCCAGGCTCCCCTGCAGGAAGCGACTGAGTTCAGGAAGGTTGAGCTGGGTGTGGAGATCTGAAATTGAGTTAGGCGCCTGGGTTCAAGGACTCAGTTCCTCCAGCACTCCCCCTGAGTTTAGAGAAGCTGACGTTTGCCTCCTGGTTTGGGGAAGAAGGGCCTGGGAGTCACACGTGAGGGGTAGAGAAGCTTGGGGCCTGCTGTCTGAGTTCCAGCAAAGCTAAGCAATCCGAATTCACGCTCAGAATGCAAATCTTGGGACCCTCGCCGCCGCAAGTCGGAGAAGCTGGCGTCCCGCCAGCTCCCTGAGACGAGGTACTCTGAGCAGGGCCTGAGTTCAGGAAGGGCAGTCTGGAGTCCCGCCACTCTGAGATCGGAGAAGCTGGTGACCACCTGCCGCCCAGGTTCTAGGAGCTGTCTGCCCATATGGCCGCCACGGAGAAGCGGG